GGGAGGCTTACATTATTATTATTATTAGTAGTAGTAGTGGGAATCGTGGTACGCACAATTGCAGCATGGTCACTTTAAGTATGCTCGAGGTCTGTTGTTATCATTGATCAGCTTGCGAACTCGCGTTCGTAAACCACTTGTCGTGCAAGGATGCAGAAAGATGCACAACAGACTGCCAGTGCCGCTAAGTCGTGTCTGTGCAAGGATGACAAGCACTTTGCTAATTGTAGTGCGGTTTGCCGCCCCCGTCTCTCACCCCGTCGCAAAAACACACTTCGGATCTAACAAGAGAGCAGTGAACGTTGACAGACTCCCCGACACCATTAAGTCTAAAAGGTGACTGGCATTTTGTTTGACCAGTCACACACACACGCACACAACTCCAAAGGATGCAAAGCGTAGACCCCTCTCTAACAGAGGCATTTAGTCACTAAAAAACTGCACGTTTCAAAATACAACACCCGGAGAAGTTGTTTTGACTCTGCGGCTAGCTTGCAAAAGCCTGTGTAGTCTCGGACAGATGTTTCATGCGGCTGGCAGCTGAGGAAATAGCAGGTGGAGGAAGATAAACCAAATCAAGTGCTGGAAAAAAGCAGCTAGTTCTAGACACAAGCCTTGGCGAAGAACTAAGCACTCCTCGTCGTCCGGATGACAGAGGGCGGGAAAATGGTCAGATAGGGCGAAGTGCAGTAAACGCTGGGTAGATCCGATGTAAACAATGTGCACGGGGTAAGCGGGCGCAATTATAACTTCGTGTCCATGCAGTCCATCTCGGATCAGGGTGAGTTTGGCACCAGGTGAAAGAGCAATGAAATCAAACAGCCAATATATTCTCTATATGGTGTCTGTATGAAGCATTCGTGTACTGTGGGATGAGAGATGTAAGTGGGAGAGTATAGTGAGCTGTCTTTTCTATGGGGCTTCTGGGTGTCGTTACATCCCGAGGCCTTACAGCATAGCATGATAGTGGGCAGTTTTGAATTTCATACGCTAGAAAACAACAGGAGTGAGCAAAAAGACGAAGAATAGCCCTTGAGGAAAACCTTCACGACGACAAACAAGATAGCGCTTGCAAAATGGGCCTCACTGGGCAAAATGCTTCTGATCTAAGTACCTAACAGTGATAACCAAAATTAGTCAGTCAGCTCAAAATAAACACAAATTCGAACCGATGATTAGCATAGACATAACCGCCAGGTCATTTCCGACACGCTGGTAGTACTAGCCCTCAGTAGACGCCCGTATGATACGCCCGTGGATTCTAAGTCAGGTCTTAGTGCTTTGGGAATAGAACACCACGCGGTTATCCCGCAGTGGCTGCTGAACTTCGGCCCGAATAATTACATCAAATTTCGGCCTGCACTTGTAGACCCTTCAATATCATGATTTACCCAAGTTCGAAATTATTTTCTGAGGCAATAAAAAAGTTGCAATTTTAAAACTAGACTATCTACTAGAAAGCATACAGAGAATGCTGGGGGACCACTAATAAGCCGAACCTCTCGCAGACTGTGCCATGCACCGACAGAATACCGACGAAACACATGTTTGGGCATTTAACTAGTATCTGTGTTGGCAGTATTATAAAAAGTACACAAGTTATAAAACACTACGTAGTGACATAGTCAATACAAAGATCGGCATTCGAGTATCAACTGAAAACACGAAGTCGCAGAAATTAGCTACAGGACTGAAAGTCGTCAGCACCATGATAGAAGTCAATGCTTCAACGAGGGCATCGTCACGTGAGAGTGGATGGCTTGGGCTGCCACTCTAAATGGGCCAAAGGGACGAGAAGACAACTGCAGTCAGCTTAGTCTTGTAAAGCGGGCAACGGAGGGTAACAGACGCTCCGGGTCAAATTTAGTAATAACATCAGTCTGTAACCAGCTTGTGTGCCTGGCAAGCCATCTGGCTCAATTTCACTGGAGACTGGCATTAGCAGCTGACCTTGAATTGCATTTGGAAACGAATGAAAAATTATTGCAGAAACAGTGGTGTTTGAAGAGTCGATTATTGTGCTCGACAAGGCTATGTGTGAAACACCCCTGGGGGTGGTTGTTTAAAAATTTACCATCTTATTTTATTTAGTCAGACGTACTTCGTTGTCGTTCGCACGGCAATAATTAAAGAAAGGGGCCATGTGCTACGAGGTGTTTGACCTTAAGTGACGCTACTCATGTTAAATTTACCCGTATTGGGCTCTAGGTTAGGGTTATGACTACGGTTAGGCTTAGTGTCAGAGTCAAATTATGATGAGGGTTAGAGCTGCGGGGTTTGGGTTACGGTGGACAGTTGGGGCTGAGGCTAGGATTGGGATTCTCGGCTTAGGGTTTTAGGGCTTGGTTTAAGATTACGTTTGAGTTTTCCTTAAAAGCCTAGGGGTCCAGCCTTAGGGTTACTCAATTGGTGCAAAGCCACGGCTGACGTAAGAGTTGCTTGCTCTCGGGGGGTTTCAAAACCTACCCTTGTCCTGTCTCATGAATAAAATCATTAACAAAACCTTGGGGGTTTTGACAGATTTGAATAATAAATTTGACCCAAGTGTGAAAACCTCGGCGGCCTCTGTGGGATTCGAGCCCACGACAGCAAGGAAAAATCTTCAGTACAGCCAACATTTTATCATCCAACTGAGCTACGAGGTCCCACCGGCGACCGTGATTTTAATAACACTTGAGTCAACATATGGAATTCACCAATTCTTATACAGTAAGCTAACTGCCCAAGCAGGATTTCCTAGGCAATCAATCTTGAATCCAGCAAATAACTATCAGGAGCAAACTTGACCAAAATGTGATTAAGTTCACGGCCGCCAGTGGCCGAATTGGGTTCGAATCTAACCCCAGACCACGAAGTTTTCTACAAGCGAGTCAAATGAATATACAAAATAAACACACCGAAGCACCCTAGGGCGTTGAAATTGGTTAAACTGTTTAACGCACACTCCACAACACAGAGCACTCCCTGCCCAGAGCAAGCGTAGATACCTGAGTGCGAAGCTGTGGAGCCAAGTCGAAGTAGGCCTCCATGAAGCCCATATCGAGGGCCTCCTTGAAGAGTTGGCGGCCTTCCGGGGTAGCGAAGGGGATGCAGAAGGCGGGGAGGGGCCGGCGGTAGAACTGACGTGGTTCCGATGGTCGGTTCGCCGCTAACAGTTTGTTAGAGGCCGAATGAAAGCCACAGAAGACTGTCAGAGGCGGCATAAAAGGTTGACGTCTTTGCCACCAGGGGGCCGACCCTCGACTGATTCTGGAAAAAACGCGCAGGATGCACAATATATCCATCGT